AATTCGGGCTGCAGGCAAAGGGAAGCTGTCACCAATCTCTGCATTTGCCCAAGCCACGGGCTCTGTTGGTGTCTCCTAAGCAGCTTAAATTTGGATCCCAGGCAGGGCAGCCCCGTGCTGCTGGGAGGCAGAAAAGGAGGCTGTGGGTTTCTCTGACACTAGGAACCAGGAAGATTTTTTTGTGATGTGGGGGGTGAGGCAGTGGCCCAGGGTGCCCAGAGAAGCTGTGGATGCCCCATCCCTGGAGGGGTTCAAGGCCAGGCTGGATGAGGCTTTGGGCAACCTGGGCTAGTAAGGAGGTGTCCCTGCCCATGGCAGGGGGTGGCACTGGGTGGGCTTTAAGGTCCCTTCCAAACTTTTCTATGAGTAGTGAGAACCTGATCCTTCACTCAGAGAGACTCAGGTGCAAAGATGCTGATGCTGGCGCTGTGTACTGGGGGCCAGCACACGCACCCAGGGCTGTGAAGGGACAGGCTTTGTGGGAAGTGGCATCCCCCCTCAGACCACACGAGCCTGAAGGACACATCCACATTGGCCCATGGCTGATGACACTGAGCCAAGCTGTTCCTGCTCCACCTCCGTGGCTCCCCGTGGGCCACACCACCTTGCCCAACCCTGTCCCTTCCCATAACAAACCTCACCAAGGCTTCATCCTGCGTGTGCTGGAAGCCCCCAAATATATTTCGTTGGTGCAAAGGAGAGGAAGAGATTGGGATGAGCCAGGAGCAGAGGTGCATTACAGCTTAAGCAAACACCCAAGGAAGCATCTAAAAAATTATCTGACAAAAACTACGAAAGCTTTATCAAACTTTAGGAGTAACAATAGTCCATCACACCACTGCTGTCGTTAATCCTTGGTAATTGTTTCTATAATTAAAAGCCCCATTGTGTCTTGTCTCTCCAATATGATTTATCAGCTAGGGAGTGGTGTTGCATGAATGATGCATGGCTGTTGGGAGGACATCTGCCTCAGGGCTGCTTGCATTTAAGAGAAACTAATATCTTGCAGCATCTTCAATGAAATATGAATAAATACAGTAAGTACAGTGCATGGATGAAGCTAATCGGACCCAAAAATTACTCTCCTTTCTTGTGTGAGTCACACCCCTAATGTATGTGCATATTAATACTTGCAGCACGCTCTCCTTCCCATCTTCATTTTCAGGAGCTGTCACGGGGGGTTTAGCTAGAAGGACACACTCCACAGCTGCTGTGGGAGAGGTGCAGCTCCTTTCCCAGCTCAACTGAACACAGCTATTAACATGGGGTTCTGGCCTGATGGATTTCATGACTTTTCCATCACTTTGCTCAGTGTGACATGCAATAAGTCTCCAGGCTTCAGCTTTCCATCTCCCAGCTGGACATCAGCCCGGTTGTGGCATCCAGTATAGCACCGGTTTCTCCATGCCACCCAACTGCGACCAACAGCTTGGCTCCAGTTCAAGGCACTACGACAAGGGCAGCAGAACAAATATTGGCCCAAGACCTTTGGAAACATTGACGTTCAGAGTATACACAAGCTCAAAACATCTGGCCTGGAGACTGTGCACCTCCGAGGTGCTGGCTCCGTTTCCAGCGGCACCAGTAATGGCCAGGAGCGCTCTGTCACTGGTGTGAGCGTCTGCTCCCAGTTACACACTTGGATGCTGTTCTCCTCACACCGAGGGGGCTGTGTGCCCATCTCAGGGCTAAAACACAGCTTAGTTGGTTCAAGGCATCCTTGGACTCTCGGATCCAGATAAACCGTGGTGGTCAGCCCTGAGGAAAAGCCCTCACCAGCAACTGTGACACCCCCAAAGGGCACCGCAAGGCAGCCTGGCTGGGTCCCACCATGCAACATCCCTGAGTGAAGCAGAGCCAGCCCCCAACCCTGCCTCCAAACCGCCGTGTGCAGCTGGGACCATGCCATATCCCCAGAAAAGGCACAAATTAATTCCCCAGGACCAGGTGCCTTATCCTGCAACAACGATGCCCAGAGCTTTGAGAGGAGAAGATATGGGGACAGTTCTTTGTCTCTTGCCCATCCAAATGTGCAGCTGCAACACCAGCTGTGAAACCTGGTTTTAGGGCAGCTCCAGCACTTCAACACTGCACTGTGGAGGAGAGCCAGATCCTCAACCCATGCTCTCAGCACTGCCTGGAGCTTGTACTGCATTCCCCAGGGACACATCAAAGTCTCCCTCATTCCTGTTGCTGTTGCGGGGTGAAGCTAAAGCCAGGATTATTGCTGCAAGCTGTCAGGAGCTGCAGGCAGGAGCCTCATGTGGATGACAGCACCAAGCATCTGCCTGCAGCCGCTGAGGGTTGGCATCTCCTGCGGCAGCTGAGCGAGACGGGCAGGAGCACGGACAGAGGGAACCATCGGATTACCTGTGAGGAAGGATGTTACCAATCCACGAGGGCTCCTGATGATTTTTGGGAGCTGCAGCACCAGCTGCCTGCTCCTCTTGCTGTATACTGGATTTGCTGGGGCAGAGCTGGGACCGTGCCAGGCACAGCACCACAGCCCAGCATCTCCCGGGGTTCACAAGCTCCCACTTTTCTTGTCCCCCTAGTGGGGTCCCTCCAAGAGCAGCCGTGCACAGAAGTTGTTGCTGCGCTGGAAGGGGCAGGGGATGGGTTCAGGGGGTGCTCGGTGCCTGTCTCTCACTGCTAGAGTGGTGTAATAACCAGTTCTGAGGGGACCAGGAGACTGAACGGGAAAGAGAAGCCTAGTTGGAAATGCTGCAATTCCCTGTTTTCCCAAATTAGAGGAAAACACTTTTGTTATCAAAATTATGACCCATAAAGATGATCTAGGTGGAAATGAATGTTTTGACTCCCTGGCATTTGAATGCATGTGATAGCAAAGGAACGTCTCCTGTAATTTAAAAAATTACACTTCACATTATTTCCAGTGTGCCAGGGCAAAGGCACTGCAGCTGAGCACGTCCCCCCTCCACAGCGCCCAGCCATGGGAGAAACCCTGTAGTCACCCCTAAAAGACAAACAGGAACAAATTTTCTCTCCTCCTTGTTGGAAAGGGCAAAACGGTCCTTCCAGCCCTGGATCGAGGTTGGAACAGGGCTTCTGACCCTCTCGATTCCCAGCTTTGAGCAGCTGACAGCGACGGCATTTGTTACGGAGCTGCTCTGCGGGAGGCGAACGCTGCTCTGCCCGCCAGCCCCGTTACCCGCAGCTCACCCCTCCGCCACGCACAGCCTAGCAAAGCCCTTTCTCCATCCTAATTAGGCTCCATCCAGGGCGCAGAGCCAGCAGCCCGAGGAGCAGAGGATGCTGACGCCCGCCCGTCGGCCCCTTTCCCTGCCCATGGGGCTGCTCCCGCATCGCCCCAGCACTCCCAGTGACAGACCCGAGGTAACCTGCCCCTGGCTCCTAATTAGATTTGCTCATGATAATTACTACCATTTTTGCCTCAATTAAGCCAATTGTTTGCCATGCAACTCCCTCATCACAGCTCTAGCCCAGAGCCCTTTGCAGGCTGCTTGGTCCACGTGTCCTCTGGGGACCCTGGTGGTTGGGGGTCACTTTCACTCACCCCTTTGCTCCCTCAAGGGCCATGCTTGTCTCTTCACCCCCTGCCACCTCATTAACCCCTCAGTTTCTCTCCCTTTCCCCATTCCCCCTCCTCTCACAGCACCTGGCTTGCTCCTCCGTGGCCCCTGCCAAGGAGGTGGCACTGGCCCTGGTGTCACCCACAAAGCCACCGGGACTAACTGGACCCCAGGGCTTAGAAAGGAGCAGACCTCAGTCCCAGAGCCCGCATGGTTCCCACCATCCCAACCCCTCTGCTCTGCAGGAGGGGGCCAGGAAACAGCCTGAAACAGAAGGGCAGAGGGAGGGAACCCGTTCCCCAGCACAACCCTCCCCTACAGCCTTGACACCCACTTCTGACCACAGCCAACCCCCTGCCCAGCTCCTGGCACCCAGGGAAGAGTGAAAGGAGATGACACAGGAGCCAGATGCACAGCAGAGACTCAGACAGACACATCCCACGTCCCCTCTTGGGCCTTTTCCCAGACCAGAGGATGCCAAGGAGGACTCTGAGCATCTCCATCCGACCAGAGTTCACGACCCACTCTGTCAGGCTGCTCCTCGCACGGTCCAACTCCAAACTGAGCCAGGCTGCAGCCACCCTGCGTGGCCTGGGGCACATCCCTGCGCTTCACCTCCTCACACTGCGGGGAAAAACAGGCAAAAAGCCACGAACCAGGACAGGGAAGAACAGGGACAATGGAGAGGAAGGGAAGAGATGCTCAAAGTTGCTGTCTTGCCCTTTGGCAGAAGGACAGACTCTCCCAGCACCCCCACGCTCTCAGTCCCCCCACTCCACCCAGCTGTAAAGAGGGGCAAAAAGCATCAGGTACTGTAATGTCACATGCTGGTGAGCAGGCTGGCTGCAGCCCCATCACCAAAACGCACCAAGCAGCCTTTCAGCCAGGACTGTATTTCCAGGCTGTACGAGCCTTATCCTTCTGCGGCTGGATGAAGCCTGGGCAGAAGCAGGAATTTCGTGCAGCTCATTCACAGCCCTGCAGAACCCCATACCCCCAGCAGCGGTGACAGCCACCAAGCCACCAGCAGCCACCGCTGCATCCAGGCACCTCCCAGACGATCAGTCTCCTCCAGGCTGAGCCTTCGCACACCAGCACGACCATCGGCTCCCGACAATACAAACATGCACCACCTACTTACTGGGGCTGGATTCAAGGTGATGACCTTGGGATAAAGCAGCTCTGCAGCCAGTTCTCACTCCACCAAGCCATTTATTTCCACCATGCTTGTCTGAGGAGGTCTCTTCTTCCTAAAGCAGGGCTTAAGACTCCGGGAAGGTTTGGGCATGCCCCTCATCGCAGACAGGTGTGCACAGAATTAATTTGCAGGTGAGCTCAAAGAGACAGTTTTAGTGCTGGTTGCTTCCTTCACTACATTTTGAGGCAGAATCACTCTGCAGCCTGGCACCCAGACAATGAACAAAGCCTCCTCTTTATCTCCATATCCAGTGCTATTAAAGCTCAGGAGCAAGCAGGAAAAGCCTGCATAGATTTCAGAAAAAGCCCTTACCTAGCTACATGCCACTAAAGGATGTTTTATTAATCTCTGCTTTGAAAACACTGGCTGCAGACAACAGGAGAGCTATCAAACAAACAAGGAGCAACTGAATTAATGCAGAGCCCAATATAATACCCATGAGCTGCAATATCAGCTCCTCTATCAATCTTAAGAAAAATCTTGCTATTATTCAGCAGTAATGAAACCGGTGCTATTGTGGCTGCAGACAATGCCAGGTAAGAGGCATACCTGCATTTAAAGAGACACTGCCACAGGGAAGGATGGTGAGCAACCTTAGAAATACTTGAGCTTTGTGACTCAGGACTGTTCTGCACATTGATGGTGCAGAAATAACTGGTTTAACCTGGGAGAAAAAATGGCTCTGCTCAGTCCAAGACATGTCCCACTGAAGCAGAGGTACAAGGAGCCAGTACCAGGTCTCTGGCCAGAGCTGGATGGGGAAAAACTTTAGACTGCTGTAAGGGAGGGGTTTGATGGCTTCAGCCTGTGGAGAGGCATCCTGAGCTGGCCACTCGAAGTGCAAGCATTTCTTCCTTTAAATGGTTCCTCCTGGCCTGAACAGCCCTTTGCATGCTCACTGCAGCCCAGCAGGAAGAGCTGCACAGAGCACAACATGCCCCGGAGCTGCTTTCAACAGAAGAAACAATCTTTAATTAGGAAGACATTAGCATCCCTGATCACAGCAGGGTCTGCGAGCAAGGACACCTCTGTCCTCCTTACTGCCCTGCCTTTGAACTCCCCAGGATTTTTTAACTCCCGCTCTTTCTTGCGGCCCATATGAGATGGGAGACAAGAACAAAACCTTGGGGCATCTCAACACCTGCCTCCCTTCAGAGCTGGGACAGATTTCTATCCTCCTTCAGAGGCTTTGCCCATGTCAGGGCTCAAGCACTGACATTACCAAGGCAGAAAGGGCTGTCTGCTGCTGTGCTGGCCTGGCTCATCCAGGTTAAACCTGCCCCAGAGCTCAGCTTGTTCAGCACAACAGCCCTGCTGCAGGATGCCTCTTATTTCTAACAGTTGGAGCATTGTTAGCCCAAGCTGATACACACACACAGCTCAAGGCAGCTGTGCCATCAGACATGGCCTCCAGGCAAGCCTGGAGCGAGGGAGCCAAACCCCTGGAGCTGTTCCCATCTTTACACTCACATTTGGAGGAGTTACTCCTCTGTGAAGCCTTAGATACGATGACTTGTCCCAGGCAACAGATGAAGCGTTGGCCAATCTCAAATTGCTCCAGAGCTCTGGGTTGCATTCTATTCATGTACATTCTGATCCCAACCTGCCGTTCCAGACCCTGAATCATCCTTTACTCAACTCTTGCACTGAGCCAGGGTCCTCTGTAGGATCTGTGCAGAGGGAGAAGGCTCCAGGCAGAAACTCTTGGGTACAAAGCAGCCAGATACCAGGCTGAAGACCTACAAGTGCTCACTGAGCAACATGCACTCCAGGTGAGCTTGATCAGTTCATCCCAAGGGCAGACACTCAGTACCTCCTGTACTTCTGGAGGATGTCATGCATGGGGAGGGATGTTCTTCTGAGGCACCCATCCTGCCCCTCTGCAGCCAGCCCTGGGGTGTCTGGGGATCAGTCGGTGTGGCCATGCCCACGTACAATCCTATGGGAACTCAGCCTGAGCCTGCAGCATCAGTCCCTGCACCCCTCTCCTTCCCACCACACATTTCAGTGTTCCCAAAGTCAGCACACTCCCAGGAGCCATTAAGACCCTCTCCCTGGGAAGGATGGGAGGGTCCCATGGGCAGCCCCATACCCTGGGCTCCCAGCAGCAGTATGTCCATGCCATCTGGTGCACAGGCAGAACCTGCCAGCTCCAGGTACTGAAAGCCAATTGCATCCCAATTCACATGAAAAAACAGGGTAATTTTATTATAAAGTGTTAAAAAATATCAACAGAGCATTTAACTGGACAGCTTACTCAAGGACACAGCCTCCCCACAGAACCAGACACTTGGCAGCCGCAGCAGAGGTCCAGGTTCACAGGTCAGGGTCCCTGCTTATCCTAGAAAACAAGAGATTTTACCCATGACATTGACCCGCCAGCGCTGGCACTGGGGGGGTGAGCTGCTGAGTACAAACCAACCCACTCCACACCTCTCCTCACCCTCAGATTCCCAGCAAGCCAGGCAGCTGAGCACCAGCTTCAAGGGAATAGGGAGGGTATCCACCAGCGCTTTGGCAACAGAGGGGTCTAGAGCAGCAAAGGGCCTCATGCAAAGCTGCTAGTGATGAAGACCCTCCCATAAATCCTCCCCATTTTAAAGTGCAAAATATCTGGGACAGTGAGTCATGAAGGGCTGATGGTGGCTCTGGTTCAGAGGTGGCAGCCCTGGGTACCAGCACAAGATGCTCAGCTGGTATTTGGCTGTCCTGTCATTTACAAATATACCCACAACTGGGTCTGCAGCCAGCACAGGGCAGATCCACTCACCTGGAGATCCGAGCACTCCTTCAGCATAATGGTTCCATCCTGCTCTTCAGGCTCCAGGTCTGCATCGGTGTCATTGTGGGACTTGTACTCCTCGCTGTCTGTTTCAGTGTCTGAGGGCTGGGGAGGAACGAGGCAATCTGAGGGACACTGCACTGGGAGCCACAGCCAAGGGTGACAGAGGTGCTGCTTTACAGGGACATCAACCAAAGGGAAACTCCAGTGTTACAGGATGAGCGGGGCACCCCACACCTTTCAGACACCAGTGATGTTTAAGGGCTCCTTGGACAGCCAGCAGCGAGCATATAATAAAGGAAAACTCTTTGCAGCTCCCTGCAGACTCCTCTGCAGCAACACCCCCAGCCTACCAGGAGCACACAGAGGGTCAAACCATCATCTCCAAATTGCTTGGCCCCTGAGGGACAACCCTGCTCAGCAGCCAGGATGTCATACCTCATAGGTGACATCTTCAGAGTCATCCTCTGGCAGGTCCCTCTCCAGCACCACCAGCCAGGACTCCTGCTCCTCCAGGGATAACTCATCCCACTTCCTCTTGTTTGCTTTGTGATGTGGGCTGATCAGAGCCTCTCGGATCTCTGCAGGGATTTACAGGAGGCACCATCACAACACATGCAGAAGGAATTTGTGCATCTGTGTGTTTCCCAGCTTTCTACCCAGCACAGGAGCTCCAGACCTAAAGTGTTTTAATGTCCTGGTGCATGTTTCTTCAATGCAAAGCCTTCAGGTGCTCCTGGAGGCCACAACTCTTACCCTTGGGCATGTTGCTCCGGCCCCAGTCCGCTGGCAGGTAGCCCAGGAGGTTCTGGATCCTCATGGGGACAACAGAGAGGAGGAGGCGCGTTAGCCTCCCCCGACGCTTCCTGGCAAGTAGCCTGGGCCTGGTGGGAGACTGTGTGGGGGAGACTTTGCTGATAATGGCATCCACAGGGACCACAAATCCAACCCAGCTGGATGCTTTCTGCAGGATCTTCAGCTGCAAACAAGAGAGAGCTACATTAGGTCACATGAGAACTTCCAGATCTTTAAAATCCTCAGTGAGACTTAAACCCTTCTCTGTCCCAGCATGGAGCTGAGCCTAGGACCAACTTCAGCCAGGTGAGACAGGACCAGTTAGACTGTACCTTGTCCCCAAGGACCTCCTCTCTTTCCTAGCCCAGAAAAGAGGAGAAACATGAATCCTGCAACAGCCATTAGCAGAAGGGGAGCAAGACAAGACCAAACCAGGCAGAGAGCAAAAGCTAGGACAGGGAGGAAAGCAGAGGGCAAGCACAAGCTGGGCACAGGGAAAAGACAAAAAAAAAAAAAAAAAAAAAAAAAAAAACTCGCAAACTAATGCGGGCGAAGGAAAAAAAAAAAAAAAAAAAAAAAAAAAAAAAAAAGAGAACATCTGGCAGAGAAACCAAAGGAATTGCCACTCTCAAGGTTTTATCACCCCATCCGCTGGCCTTAAACTCCTCCAGCAGCAGGAACATCACCTACCGGGTACTTGACAAAACTCATCTGAAAGAACCAGGACAGGAACCTGCTGGAGAAGGAAGAGGACCCATCACAGGGAACCAGCCTTCCCTAGACAGAGAGAGAAAGATCAGACACCCTCCACACCAGCTCTGACAGCATCCCCAGCAAAAACAACCCCTTTGGCACCCGGAGGGTCTCTACCTGCTCTGGGCTGGTGCATGACCTTAGTTGCTGCTCCATGAGACCAAGAGCCTAGACTGGACAGAAACCTGGCTTAGCCCAGTCTGCAGCCCTCAGGCTACTTGTAGCTACTGTCCCAGCTGCTCCTCATTGTGCTAACGAGCTGCCAGCCTCCCTGACCGCTGGGGCAGCCCCATGCCCTCCCCTGGGGTTGCCCTGGTAGCAGCACTGGTCCTGGTACCTTGCTTAAGGGCCCATGGCTCCCAATTAGGTTGGGTTTCCTTGTTTTGTATTATTTTTGGTTTGTTTGTTTGTTTGTTTTCCCCCCTTCCCCTCTTAATTGGAGGTGCCTGTCTCCTACTGGGAGCTTACCAAGACTCTGCTGTGGGATATCTCCCCTCACTCTGTGCTGATGAAAACAGCTGAAGGCAGAGGGTGATGACATGTCAGCAAACCTGTTGAACCCCCAGGTGATGGGAGAAGCTGGACCTCATCTGGGGGGGGGGACCCCTCAACATCCCTCCCAGTCCATGCCCTCCCCTTGCTCCCTCACTGGGGGGAAGCTGGAGCTGGGGTTAGCTTTAAACAATAAAGATGAAAAGAAGAGAGCAAGCCTGGTTCATTTGAAACCGCAGCCTGATTTAATTAGCCAGCAGCTCTGTGCGCACATGAACACACAAACATACACACCCCCCTTCGTAAAATGGGCTGAGCAGAGACGGGACCCGTACCCAGCCCCTGCAGACCTTGCTTGTAGCCCTGCCACTGGCCACGCGTTTGGGGGA